TCTGGTGTTGCTTGGAATTCCTGACATACTGAACAACATGCAAACTAAAGGCTCTACCTACCAGTAGACCAGAGAGCATGTCAATTATATACCATGGTACTCGACACTATCTCTCCAGCATCAATCTCGACTTAATGACCCTATTTAGGTCAGTGGGTTGATGTCACGTTCCACTTCCATGCCATGTTCCACTTCTATGCCATGTTCTACTTCCATGCCATGTTCCACTTCTATGCCATGTTCTACTTCCATGCCATGTTCCACTTCTATGCCATGTTCTAATTCGAGTGGGGCTGCAGTACCGAAATTGGCGTCGCAATTTAGAATGGGTTTTCTTCTAGCCAACTCAGGAAAAATTAGACAGAGTAGCTGATGTCGTAAGATTAAAAAAGGAAATTCTCATATATAAGGATAACTGCTGGATCTAATGCCATAAGATAATATTTCACCGCTTATCATAGTTTTTATTCTCACCGATACCGACTCTATCATACATTTTGTAATCCCCGTACTTATCACTGGCATCTTTATGCGCACTTGCCTAGGAAGAGTCTTTCAGGTTATCAACGAAGACTATAGGTGCAAAATATACACTAACAATGTCTATGGTTGCACTGGCTACTCTACATCATTTACAATGCTTCACGGAAAAGATTGCTCAGGTTTATACTGTACAGCAAATCTAATATTATAATTAATTATCGGATAGCTGATAAAAGTTATCTTAGACCTCACTATAGTCGTTGGTAAAACTCGCCTTAGCTTGCCTTATATTGATGCCGTAGTATATAGACAGGTTAACGGCAAAAATGAAACTTAGATCAGGGTAGAAAAGACGGGAGAGGTCATCTTCTCCAATCTGAACGGCAACAAAGCTAAATACAAGCTTAATAATGGGCTTAATACTAGAAGTTCATACAGCGCGTCTGACTATAAGCCCTTGACGAGTACAAGCGTAGGTCCGTCTTTAAGCCTCGCAGCTTTATACTCGTCAACAGCTAAGTCGGGCTCGTTATCGACGATTATATCTAATTCAACCTCAACTACTGAATCAGAATCATCTTTGGCTACTACTGCCGGCTCGGCCTCGGCTACTATATCTGATTCCTCCGGCAGCTCTTGCTCAGATTAATACTGATTACATAGAGTACTTTATTTTTGGTTGACTAAGCTGAAAGGCAATCGGATTACTGCACTATTTTCCATTTTAAGGTTTAAATACTTCGTCGTTTGGTTTACAATTAGGTCTTAAATTTTTGTATTAAAGTCTGCTCTTTTATCGAAATAAAATTCCTTCATACGTATCAGTATAATTTCAATACGCCTTATTAACTTACCAACCCAGACCAGCAGTTACCTTTCCTTATTACAATTTAAAACAGGCTATTTTAAATAAGAGCAAATCTGTTCATTCCTTGCTCCTAGAATACAAGCAATATCTAAGGAAGGCAGCAAGGCTTCTCTTCATATAATTTATTTCTAGCACAGTATCTCTTTAAATATGACAGTACTTTCTATCAGATATATCTTCTAATTTTAAATTGTTTTCTAAAACACCGGCAACCTTAAGAGTCTTCCTTTTCTACTTACCCATTTTCTAACCATAGAATTTAGTCTCTTAACTAGAGTATATACTTTGTCAATACATTAAGCCGTCCTTCGTCTGTACTTTCTATTATTTCTACCGTTATGTATAGCGTTAGGAGGTTTTGTATAAGGCTTTCTGTAAAACTTCCTTTAATCTTCAAATTAATTACAAATACCTAAGTCTGATACTATATCTAATCTAAGTACTTCAGACCTTTGCAACCTATAAATGCAAAGATAAGCTCTTTTCGTAACCAGGAAGGGTAGGCTCATTTGCAACCTTAGTAATAGTATATTCCGTACTACTTAGAGTCTTCTAGTAGTACGAACTTAATCATCTCCTCCAGACGCTTAATTTGGTTATCTATTTTACTCAGAGAGATACTATATTGTCTACCAATAATATAGATGTAGTAAGTTATATTTTTATAAAGATAGCCTATAAGATTACTGTCGGGTACTAAATCTGAAAAGAGAGTACCGAGCCCATATAAAAGAATATAGACATATAAAAGTTTCGCTGCCATATAAAGTTACTGTAGATATATAAACAGAGCTGCAGGTACGTAAAAATGCTAAAGCTCTGTTACTTATAACAGCTAAATAAAGAAAATCAAATAGGCTTAAAACTAGATAGGCTTTTAGACTCTAAATCGGCTTAGTTAATTTTAATTTCTGCACCCTCTTCTGTCTTTGTTCCCTGTTAATTTCTGTTTCCTGTTCCGTTTCTGATTTCTGTTCTATTTCTGATTTCTGTTCCATTTCTGTTTTCTGTTCTATTTCTGAACCTGTCTGATGTTTTAAGGCAGCAGGGTTACTAGCCTATACTTGCTTATATACATAGAGATTACCTATTATTTACCTCTATAGACGTTCTTCTAGTGTAAGACTACACATCGCTATATTTAAATAATAAATCTTTATCTAGAGTCAGTATATATACATTAATCAGATACAGGTATTACAAACTCACTTATGTTCTCTATAGTATAAGGGGTATTATATCGTGGTTATATGTCTTATACTACCAGTATAATACAAAAGGAATTAACATTAAAATGCTTCCTTGCAACCCTAGATCATTTATTGTCGCATTGTGGTCTTTTTACCTTCCTTTAAAGCGTCGGATCAATCTCTATACCCTGTATAAACACTGTATTAATAATAAAGGGTAGTATACTTCTGAGGAACAATTAATGGTTATTTGTAAGAAGCAAGACTAGTTTTTCTATTATAAAAGCTTACTATAGGTTAAGCAGCAATAGAACTTCTGGTTGTCTTGCTTAGAAGTTCAGAAAATTAATGATACAGCAGCACAGGACAGGTTAATTATCTTTAATCTTTATATTAGGGTAGTAATAGTGTAGCAAGATTTCTGATGTCCTCTTTACTAATTAGTTAGTCGGGCTGCCTTATCGTACCTAGGCACATACGACGCATCGGGGTTTATATTGATTTCTTGGTTAAAAAGATACAGTTGTATATTTTAAGGATTTAAATTTTATTTTATAATCTCAGCCTTTACAATACTGAATATCCATAAGGCTTTTCTATTGAAATATTACATATAATAGATAAAAGCCTCAGACTGATTATACTCGGCGCATTCGAGCATTCTTAGGCAACACGAATAGGATTTATCTAGTCCCTATACTGTACGGTATATCTTAATTATTGCAGAGAATTTATTTAAATCTTAATAGGTCGTATAGGTACGCACTTTGAGAAAACTCTTAGATACATTAAATGTCGAAATACCTACTAATACGAATAATAAAGTTCAACATAGTATAAGAGATAAGTTTTATTAGATAATTCTCTTCCTTCAGACGATCTAGAAATATAGTTGGTTTAATTCTACCTATACTGCGCGGGGAACTATAAATAAAACCCTATCAAAGCATCTAAAGGTTTCTCTGGCTCCTTTGGATTAGGGCTAGATAGTAAGATTTCTAGTAGAGTAAGTCTAAGCAATAGCAACAGAGAAGTCTTTCAGAGTAAAATACTAATTTACGGCCGAGAAACGACTAAAATCCGGAGTAGTCTGCTAAGAAAATATAAACCTGCCCTAAATCTCAGATTCAGATACCTAGGCAAACATCGGCCCCGCAAAGCTCGCTGTACTTATATAACTTCTTCTTAAGATTAAGCTTGCGCCGGTTACGCTTTTGCTAGATATATTTTTTCTCTATACCAGCTTTTTTTGATTAGCTGCAAGGCTTTCCAGCTATATTTATATAAGCTTGCTGTAGAAAGACAAAAGCTAACAAAAATATCGCAACCTATTAGAAGTAATTATATAAGAATATTACTAGGCTATATTGAAGTTTCTGACAACTTACTTAGCCCTCTCCAAAACAAGCCGCTTCTATCAAGATAAATCTAGCGCCGGTCGGGAAAGCGTAGAAAGTTAATAGCTGCGACAAAGAAGCAAAATCAGCGATATATTAGCAATATATATTTACCCCAAGGCGCGGTCTGTTTTATAGACATATTCCGGAACAGAACTCTGAGCAGGAGCAAATACTGCCGGCTTTGTGTCAGAGTGCCGTATATCGGCTATCTTTACAACACAGGATACATCTGCTCCGCTGTTCCAAATCTGCAGTCATTGGTAGGACGTATTTTCTGAAATTCTATCAGGCGATTAGAGGCTATGACCAAAGTAATGATTCTATTGTCCGAAGATTTCTTCTACTCAATCAAGTCATTGCTCAATACCTAACTAATGTAGTTTAGTAGGTTTTCCATTTCTGGCCCCTGTTCCATTTCGGGCCCCTGTTCCATTTCGGGCCCCTGTTCCATTTCGGGCCCCTGTTCCATTTATGGTCCCTGTTCCATTTTGGGCCCTGTTCCATTTCGGGCCCTTGTTCCATTTATGGCCCTGTTCCATTTATGGCCCTGTTTCGCTCCTTCATATCAAGGTTGACAAAGATCGTTTAAAATACTTCTTTGCGCATTTATTTAAAATGTTATGCCGCTTATTCACAATAAGTACAGGTATCAAAATATCTGAATACGATCCAAGGTCAGTAACTAATCTACAATCTGAAATTCAATGTCTAATTCAAGAATTATAAAGCATCTTCGAGTCTCCTGTCATTTCTCTCCAGGTCGGCCCGAGTAGGAAAAGATTTTATATCCACGCGAGACTTTTGAAGAATCTGGAATCCGCCTTTGGCCCAATCAGAAACGATTCAACTTATATTAGGATAGAAGAAAACATTGAAGATATTTTTGCAGAAGTATGCGAATATCTCTATACCGGTGACTATTCAGTCGGGGTTTCGAAATCAGTCGGTGACGCCGGGGAAGACGGAACTGACCATGACTACTGTTTCGACCACTTCGACCACTTTGATACCGCAGAGGCAGGGAAGAAACCTCTATTAAAGAATAACATGTTTAAAGACATGCCTTCCGTTCTTGCTGAGTCAGAAAGGTTAATTTCGCATCTTATCAAGGTACCTTCTGACCCCGAGTGTGGGCTGCGGGACTTTTCATGCAAACATCCTGACACGCTATTACTGCATCTGCGACTTCACTTTTTTGGAAAGAAGTACGATTTGGAACGCCTTTCGATCATCAGTCTTTATAAACTCTTACTCACGCTTCCTCGTCTTCCGCTGGGAAGCGAAGAACATATCAAGGTCATTCCAAAGCTCTTCGATCTTGCTAGCGCATCAGGCCCGGAGACCGAAATATTCAAAATGATGCTTCACTACATATGCTCGCGCTTGCAATTCTTCACTCGTCACCAAGACCTTGTCATTCTACTGGCCAAGCGACCGGACTTGAACTTTCAGCTTCTCAACTATCTGGCATGGAGTACACAATCGTACGGAGCCCAGGATTGAAGCACCAAGGAATATTGCGGGAGTTTTGGGAAATCTCCAATTCGAAGCTACTACGACATGGGGCTAATTATCAAATCGCAATTGAGGGCCTCTAATATAAATCGTATTGCCAATCAAAATTGAAATGAATATAGTACGCGAGCTTGTAGAAACCTTTTACTATGCCATAGCGCAGTTTCAGCTAAGAAAATTTGTTGAGCTCATGCTTTCCTGCTTGATCTAGATCTGACCCATGAAGCACTCAACCTTTGATATATTGGCGGGTACTCGATGATTCGCATCTGTATATAGTCACACAGAAGATCTTGAGTCCAACGTGGTATCCCCTTTGTGCGTATTTGTTTTTCTCCATTCTGAGCTTCTTATTGTTCTTTGCTAAATTACGAATGTTAGCATCATTGTGTGTTACGAATGAGAATGATCGTACTTACAGGGGCACACTTAGATATCGACCAAAGTAGACCAGTAAGAAGAAGAGATAGAAAACCAAACAGAAGATACCACCTCCAATCAGGATTATCTTGAAGCAAGTCGATGTTCATGCCAAATAGACTCTGGATTTTAGTAAGTCGTGGTATCAAGAGGCATGCTTCCTTGGGTGGTCACTTACCGAGGCGAACATTAAAGGCAAGAAGATAAACTTTGTGAACGACATTGACAATCAGTTATAGTTTACTTGAATATATTCAAAGCTTGGCTTACGGTGATCCAGCTAAGGCGCTTAAAGCTTGCCGCTTCATTTGTAGAAACCCATGCCAGCTCCTAAAAAGTTAACACATGCTCAAAAAGGGTAATTCAGTCCCACATACAATTTGGAGGAGTTCCCGTACGGCCCGCTCCATGTGGTCAAGTTTCGCAGTCATAGCCTGATTGAGGTCATCAATGGTTGCCCTAAGCTCAGGCTTGTGTCCTCTTTCAAGCGTTGAGTTTTTTTTGACCACTTCATGAAGCCCTTCAACGTGAGATTGCAAGCACCGACGGAAGTTTGCACGCTCTACCGCATTTTTGGCAAGTTCGTCCACCAAGCCATGACTTCTGCCACGTTTTCTGACCTGTTCGTGTCTCTGTACCGTGATGTCTCTTGTATCAGCTCCCAATTTATTATTTCATGAATGAACGATGCATCAAGAAGCTCACCAGCTCTTCTACCCTCTCATTTGTAAAATTGCATTTCTTGTTCCAACGATGGTAGAGATGTTCCAGAAATGATCTGAAAAATTCCGAGGGATTATTAGGCACACCACCACGAGGAAGCATACTGATAAATCCACAGGCAAGACCTTCTGTTGTGTTCTTGCTGGTCCACGCAATGCCCCATGGATACTCATCTTCATCTTGACCACAGGGGAAAGACAGGGAGATATAAGTCACAAAGTGATGGCCAAAATCCTTCTGGGTTTCCTTCCAATAAAACTGATAAGTGTTCAGTATTTCATCGATACCTAAGCTTCTTGGCAACAGCGACCAAAGTTGGGGTTTCCCGCAGATACTTGGGATGTCAGATGTAACACTGTATATCCTCCAATAATAGATAAACTCACCACAATCTCGTTTGTTTTGCGCGAGGCAGCCAAGTGCACCCGAGTTCATTGATATACTCCACAGTGAAACCGTTGTTTTGTTGGGCCAACTTGGTGACTTGAATCCAAGAAAGACTTTTATCGCCTAGGAAAAACCATTCCTCAGATCCAATACGGCTGAGATCAATTGATGGAGCATTGATCAATAGATTCACAAGAGCTTTGCTTCGAGTTTCCAAAGCATACTGCAAAGGAACCTTTCCAGTGTGGTCTTTAGAGTTCGCATCTGCATTCGCGCCAATTAAAGCCGATACAACATCCTCCTTGCCACCGAGGCATGCAAGATGTAGAGGAGTTCTCCCTCGCGGATCAACTTGATCAAGGTTATAGCCAGCTTGGATAAGCTTTTTCACTAAAGTTAGTATTGCATCTTGGTCGATTGAACTCAGTCCCTCCACCAGTAGATGCATAGAATTGTTGTCGGCTTCCTTTAAGAGATTAATCACGGCGTCATTCTCAGCTTCTAGTGCCCATATCAACGGAGTTTTGGAGAATTCGACTTCTGTTCCATCACAGATGTTAATGTCGACTTTATCCATCTTTCCATTGTCTTCTAAGAAACATGACACGATTTCAACATCACCATACTGAGATGCCCATGAGAGCCAAGTTCGGCCCCTCGCGTCTTTATTATTTGGATTAGGCAAAGCCATGGTCAAAAAACTTATAGTAAATGGATTTGTCGCTGTATTCAGTCTTAGCTGTCCCAAAGTACAAGGTGACCTCATAGCAAAAGCTTGCCTGGCTTGGAGGAACCACCAAAAGCCCGTATGGCCGTTGCCGTCACAAACGTGAGGATCTGCTCCCTTTCCGATAAGGTCGATCATTATCTGAATTAATTGACGCTCGGCAGCGTACGAAAATGGGGTACGGCCATACTCGTCTTGTTGGTTGACCCGGATGTCGGGGTGATCAAGTAAGATCTTTACTGCTTGTGCTTGAGAATTCGCAACAGCCAAGAAAAGTGGTGTCAACTTATGCTCATTCTCCGCATTGACCTCTGCATTTGACTTAAGTAATTGCTTGATGATAGTGTCTTCCCCAAGAATGGCTGCAATCATGAGAGGAGTTCGGTTCTCTGCATCGCGAGAGTCAACGCAGATCCCTGGAGTTTCCAATAAGATTTCAACGGCTCTGTTGTTTCTCAATTCAACGGAGCATGCCAGTGCCGTTCGATTAAATTCGTCAACCGAATTTACATCTGCTCCTCCGTTGAGAAGTATCTGCAATATTTCAACGCACAGAAATTCTGCAGCTAGCAACATCAGAGGCTTCTTTGTTGACGGGTTTTCAACAGAGAAATTCTCAATTTCCAACAGAATATCGTCATGCGGGAGATAAGCTTCGAATAGCCACTCACACAGCGGAGGCCACTGTATCTCATCAAGTGCATCCAAATTTGCCCCTGTATCGATGAGAAGTCTGGTTATCTCAATATGACCACCTTCTGCGGCCATGGATAGTGGCGTTCGCCCTTTGACCCGATGATTGGCCAAGCTCTCATCAATTTCCAGTAACAGCTGGGCTGTTACTATGTCTCCTTGAAAAATTGACCAGATCAGAAGGTCGCGTTCAACATGAAAGATCTTCGTGCCCTTGGCTTTCGCCTCGATCAAATATCTTATGATTCTGACATCCCCAGCTTCTGCAGCAACAATCAATGGAGTCCGACCGGTCAAATCTCGCTGTTCATTGTAGATACTCTCAATGGAAAGCAGATATCTTATTGTCTCGTCATGGCGGTTGGACACCGCCCAGAAAAGGGGTGTCCAGCCTTGTAAATCAGTCGAGTTGATCGCCGCATCGGAGTCGACCAGAATTTTCACATGATCGAGTTGCCCAAGCTCTGCCGCGAAAGATAACGGAGTACGACCATAATTATCTTCTTGGTCAACATGAGCGCCGTGGCTTATCAACGCCCTTAATGAATTGTGCTGTGGACATTTCACGGCGGAAAACATGCACGTCCGGCCGTCAGCGGCGCGAAAATTCACATCGATTCTTTCGTGCTGCAAAAGTACGTTGAGCACTACCAGCTCTGGTATCGCTTTCACCAAGGGCGAGATGCCATCGATTTGAAAGTTGACCTCAAGGAAGGGGTTCCTCATATATATGTCAAGCCTTTTGATAGTCTTCTTTAGCAATCTCGGTTTCTTTATGATAGAGGTGATTGTATGAAGGAAATCTCTCTGAAGTCGAGCTTGAGCAATAGCATCTTGGGAACTGTCTCTTCCGTACAAGCCCTCCATTTTCAGATGAAAATCTTTGGAAGCAGTAGCAAAAAAGTTTTACAATGAGTGAGCGTTGATGAAGCCTATCGAACGTGAGGCTCGCTGCCCAGATTGTGGAGAGAGGGGAGCTGGCTTTGCTGCCTAATTCGGTGCCTAATTCAGTGTCAGGCTGGCTTGTAGCTTAGCGCGAATGGCCATAGCGCGTTGATAGGTTAAAACGCCCTCACACGTGCCGATCTAAATATATAGGTAAATTCAGAACGTATCTTCGCACAATTGTATCTTGCTACCACATCCTGCGTCGTTGGACCGTTCTAATTAAACAGGAATAAGATGAAAACCATGGTCCCTCAATAGCTACTATCACATATCTTGACACAATCGTTGAACTATTTTCAGCGAAACCTCCGGAAGCGCGTGAGGAAAGAATTTGATAGCCAACAGGCTGCCATTGACATCGAAAGGCAACTTACTGGAAGTGCACTGTATGAACAAAAAATAAAAGAGATGCTTCTTGCGGAGGAACATATGCTCCCCAAGCAAATTTCTCTGCTGGAAAAATTGACAACCTGGCCGACGACTCTTTCTGTGGAGGCAGAATGGACGCGTCGAAAGGAGGCTGTTGAGGCTGTTTGGATGTATTGCGATGTTCTCGAGGGGGGGGCCACGCCGAGGTCGACGATACAAGAAACAAGCGACTTCCACGAGGAATGATACAAGTATGCGCAGCGATCCGCCCCGGAGCGCTTTCTTTCAAAGGGAAGAACGTCGAGCGCGGAAGCTTTAACGAGAGAAGATACGAAACCATTCGAATGCTTTCAATGCTACGGAATGAGACACTACTCTCGCCATAAGCACCCTCTGCGTCATTTTAGAGACTCACATTTGAATGACCGTCAATGCAACCAGTGCAATGAGGCTGTCGAACATGAAATGGGCCTGCGCCGACATATGCAGGATAGACATGGATTGAAGACTTAGCAAAAGCCTATCTTAGAATCCTTGTTCTCATTGAACCAAGACACCAATTGTTTATTGGTCGAAAGACTTGAAAATATTCAATTTACTAATTAAATCCTACTACCAATCAAAACTACTGTTCTGCCGAGAGCCCCATGGCTGGGTTACATGTTCGGATAAGGAAAAACAAAAACCCGCCCAAGCCACGAGTTGGGCGGGGTCTCGCCGAACCCCCTTTTTCCTAAAATCAGGGTTGGGGGGCTTTTACACGCATGAAGCGCAAATGAAACACATGCTATCCGGATCATGGCATCAGAATATACTTTCGGTGATAATACTGGGATGCAAATAGGGACTAACTATGGACCTATTACAGCAGAATTTTATCCCTCCAAACGACGCAAGACTAACCACCGTGAGAGCTCGCCCACTTTGCGACACGACGAATATACCATTGCCTGGATATGCGCCTCGCACATCGAGATGGCAGCAGCTCAAATCATGCTTGATGATATATGTCAGCCTTCGTCCACCCATGCAGACGATACGAACATCTATGTGCTGGGAAGTATAAAACAACATCATGTCGTCGTTTCATGTTTACCAGCAAAGCAGTTCGGAGCAGATACTGCAGCAATGATTATGACAAATTTGCAACGAACATTTCCAAGAGTTCATGTCACTTTGTTTATTGGGATTGGCGGTGGTGTTCCTAGCAAGCGTGAAGTCTTTTTGGGTGATATTGTTGTTGGATCAAGGTTGATGCAGTATGATCTTCGGGACATCGCTGAAAACGGAAAGTTTCAAAGAACGGCAATTCGCAAGAATCCGGATATCTTTCTGGAGACAGCCTTAACCTTTCTTCGGGCGAATCATGAATTAAGACCAAGTCGCATGAGGTCCATCCTGCAAAGGTTCAAAGACAAGCCTGAGTATCACCGTCCAGAGGCACAAGATAATCTCTTCATGGCAACATATGATCATAAATCTCCGGTGAATTTGAATTGTGATGATTGTGACTATTCAAAGGTGATTCCACGGCCCCCGCGTGGATCGGACGATATAGTAATACACTACGGCGCAATCGCCTCCGGAAGCCAGGCCATGGCAGATGGTGTCACCCGGGATAATGTTGCCCGAGAGCTTGATGTTATTTGTTTTGAATTGGAAAACCTTACTCTGGCGGATTGCTTTCCATGTCTCCTGATTCGAGGAATCTGCAATTACTCCGATTCCCATTCAAACGAACAATGGCAAAGATATGCTGCAGCGACTGCAGCTGCATATGCTAGAGAACTGATTGAGGAGATGCCCATGAGGAAGACTCATATGGAGAAGACCGAGATCCGAATCGCTCGTAAGTCACTCCCAGATTGTTTTAGAATGAGATGTGTCGATGTTCAAATTCTCATTATTGATTAGATGACTCGATGTCCTCTGAACGTCGTGAGCGCATACTGGACAGTCTCAGGTTTGAGCAAATCTATGCCCGCAAATCGGGCATTAAAGCTGCGCACGCCAAGACATGCCGGTGGCTTTTGAGCAATGCAAAATACAAAGAATGGCTTGACCCAGCTAGCCTCATGCAACATCGTGGGTTTCTGTGGATCAACGGCAAACCAGGCGCTGGAAAATCAACGCTGATGAAGTTTGCTTATCTTAATTTGAAACGCCAAATTCACTACAAGAACGCTGTCATCGCGTCCTTTTTCTTCCACGCCCGAGGCCACAATTTAGAGAAGTCAATTAGTGGGATGTATAGATCTTTGTTACTTCAGTTACTTGAAGGTTATCCTGAGCTGCAGTCTGTTTTGGATGACCCCGAATACTTTTCGCAACATGAGACAAGCTGTCCTTCGCTAAACATTCTCAAGGAGCTCTTTTACAGTGCTGTTTTGTCTCTTGGTGGTCGTTCATTTACTTGTTTCATTGACGCCCTTGACGAATGCGATGAGCAGCAGGTTGTAGAGATGGTTCAGTGCTTTGAAGATCTAGCAGAACAAGCCACGGCCAATGAAATTTCGTTCCGAGTATGTTTCTCAAGTCGACACTATCCCCATATCATCATTCGGCATGGTATGCGTTTTATATTGGAGGAGCAGCCCGGTCATGCAGAAGACTTATCAGCTTACGCCGCATCACGTCTTGTTGTTCGAGATCCCGCTCTCACGAAAGAACTTCAATGTATCATTCTGGATAAAGCTGCGGGTGTCTTTATGTGGGTGGTCCTTGTTGTTCAAATTCTCAACGAGGAGGAACGACACGGTGGGATGTTCTTGAGGAAAAGACTCGCTGAGATACCGAGTAGTCTAAGTGAACTTTTCAAGGATATCCTTGGTCGTAACAGTGGGAACACCGAGGCTCTCTTGCTTTGTCTCATTTGGATTCTTTATGCCGAGCGACCTTTGGAACCAAATGAATTCTACCACGCTATTTGGTCAGGACTATCACTGAAAGGTCTAGTTGACGACCAAATTCCAGATGTTACCCCTGACACCACCGACAATCTGGATAATTTCAGGAGGTATGTTATCAGCGCCTCGAAAGGACTGGCTGAAACCACCAACACAAAAAAACCAACAGTCCAATTCATCCATGAATCTGTCCGAGATTTCTTGGTAAAAGACAAGGGCTTGCATGAACTCTGGCCAGAAATCGGATATGACTGTGCAAGTCCAAGTCATGAGACGCTGAAGCAATGTTGCAGCGTTTATCTGAACCATGTCTCAGTGCGTCAACGTTTGTGTGAGCTTCCGTTGGAGTACGACTCGACTGTACAATTGGAAATGTCTGAGCAACATCCGCTCATGAAATATGCCACTCAATTTATACTCTATCATGCCAACTTGGCCGCGAAAGTTTATCCTCAAGACGACTTCTTATCTGGGTTTCCTATGTCTGACTGGATCCACCTAAACAATATGTATCAGCAATTCAAAATCCGAAGATACAGCCCATCCGCAACTCAATTTTACATTTTTGCCGAGCGAGGATTGTCCAGGCTAATTCGTACCATACCCCGCGGTGACCCACAATCATTCATGAAGCCGGAGAAATACAAGTACCCCTTTTTTGCTGCTTTGGCCAGCGGTAGTAACGACACCGTTGCTGCCGTTTTGGGGTTGCCTTCTGCTGTTCACAAAGGAATTGATATACTGCAGGGTATCGATTTGAAGAACGACTTCAAACATGATGGTCGGACTCCTTTATCTTGGGCGGCTCGGAATGGCCACAAAAATATCTTTGAGTTGCTGCTGAGGGAGGAAGATGTGGATCAGAGAGAAAAGACTGGGCAGACACCTCTCATGCGGGCTTCAGAGGGTGGCCATGAAGCACTTGCAAGAATTCTTATCGAAAAGGGAGCAGATATCCATGCAAGCGATCAATTTGGGCTAACAGCGCTACACTGGGCCGCCCGGAAAGGCAATGAGGAAGTGGCAAGGATCCTTATTCAAAAGGGGGCAAAACTCCAAGCAAGAGATCAAGATGGGCTAACACCGCTATATTGGACTCTGAGGAAAGGTCGTGAACCAGTGGCAAGCCTTCTTATCGAGGAAGGAGCCGACGTCCACTTTCGTAATGAAGATGGGAAGACGCCGCTACATTGGGCCTCGAAATACGGCCGTGAAACTGTGGCAAGAATTCTAATTGAGAAAGGGGCGGACATTCAGGCAATTGATCAAGATGGACGGACATCGCTACACTGGGCTGCGCAGAGTGACTGTGGGGCACTGGTCAAGCTTCTTTCCCAGAATGGAGCAGACATACACTCTGCTGACAACGACGGACAGACACCGCTACACTTAGCCTCGCAACATGGCTGTGAGGCAGCAGTCAAAGTCCTTGTATGGAAGGAAGCAGACGCAGACACTTCTGATGAAAACGGAAAGACGCCGCTACACTTGGCCTCGGCAAATAGCCATGCGGCAGTCGCTGCGCTTCTCATCCTCTCTGGAGCAAATATCAACGCCGTCGATCAAGAGGGGAAGACGTCACTACACCTAGCCTTGGAGAGTTGTTGTCAGAGAGTGGCCATGATTCTTATCAGCAGGGGTGCAAACGTCCTGATTGGTGATAAAGAAGGGCAGACACCACTACATTGCGTCTCGAACCGCTCCTGGACCTCTATGGATGGCCATGAGGCAGTGGTCAAGCTTCTCATTGAAAAAGCAGCAGACATTGACCCTAGGGGGTAAAAATGGGGAGACACCCCTACATTGGGCTTTAAAGCATGGTCGTGGGCTAGTGGCAAGGCTGCTTATCGAGGGGAAAGCAAATATCCATGCCAGCGATCATTGTGGGCGAACATCGCTCCACCTTGCCTCAGCCTGCTGCTCATCTTCAGCCTCTGGTTGTGAGGCATTGGCCAGGCTTCTGATCGACCAAGGAATCGATTTGCACAAAAGAGATAAAGATGGAAAAACGCCGCTCCACTGGGCTTTGAGACATCGTTGTGAGGAAATGGCTATTTTTCTAATCCAAGAACAAGGAGCAGATATTCATACTAGCGACCAAGACGGTGTGACACCGCTTCACTGGGCCGTGAAGAACAGCTACGAAACAATGTTGAAGTATTTTATCGCGAATGGGGCCAACATCCAAGCAGCTGATCAAGACGGAAAAACACCACTCCATTGGGCCTTGGAACATGGTCGTGAGGAAGTGGCTATTCTTTTAATCGACTATGGAGCAGACATTCATACAAGCGGTAATGAAGGTGTGAGACCGCTCCACTGGGCCGCGAAGAACAATTATGAAACAATCTCAAAGCATTTTATCGCGAATGGAGTCAGCATCCAAGCAGTCGATGAAGAGAAGAAAACGCCTCTTCACTGGGCTTCTGAGTATGGCAGTGAAGCAGTCGTGAAACTTCTTATCCAGGCTGGAGCAGATATCGCCGGTAGTGATATAAATAGACAGACACCACTGCACTGCGCCTTGAGAAATGGCCATGAAACAGTGGCAAAACTCCTTGTCGAAAAAAATGCGGATGTCCATGCAAGTGATATATATGGGCAGACATCACTTCACTGGGCTTCGTGTTTTCGGCGGGGTCTGTATGACCGTTGGGCCTCAAAGAATAGACGCAAGGAAATGACAAAGCTTCTTGTCGAAAAGGGGGCAGACATTCACTCAATGAATGAAGATGGTCAGACGCCGCTGCACTGGGCCTCATTAGAGGGCGTAGAGCCAGTGGTAAGATTTCTTATTCGAAAGGGGGCAAATATCCGCATAAGTGATACAAGTGGGAGGACGCCGCTACACTTGGCAGCATCGGAAGGGTTCAAAGCAGTGGCTAAGCTTTTTGTTCAGAAGGGAGCAGATGTCAACTTCCCCGACAAAGATGGACAGACACCGCTACACTTGGCCTCATTGGAAAATCATGAGGCAATGGTCATATTCTTAATCGAGAATGGAGCAGACGTTCACGCAAGAGATAAACTTGGTCGGACACCACTACACTGGGCCTCGCAGAGAGAAAATGAGGCAGCGGTAAAGGCTCTCATCAAAAAAGGAGCAGATATTTACGCTGGTGACAACTGTGGGCAAAACTCTTTCGAATTGGCATCGCGCAATGGCCGGAAATATTGGATGAGGCTTCTGACACGAGAGAGCAGAAGTGACAATGCTACTATGGGTTGAGAAAGGATCGAACGCACTAGCTTGAATGGCTTGTGAATGATGAGAGAGAAGTGCCGATTGTAATACAAATCCCAAATATGCGCCATTTTTCTAGTTCGTTTGAGGTTTCCGGGCATTCAAGTATTAATGAAGAAGGCCCCGATTAAGCCAACTGAGCAACCGACGAGTGAATGCAGGCAGTGTACGTTACAGGGAATACCGAATTGATCTGTAACAATATTCGGGGGCGTCTTTTTGTATATTCTTTTGCTAGTGTACATTTGAGGTTCTAAATAACAACCATCGCTTGCCTTCAATCCATCAGACAAAGCATACACTAACGCCATACTCTTCCAACTAATATTCCCGAATTTGCGTCTCTATAGAAACACCGTTCTGATATATTTCCGTAAAGAAAGCACCCAGTGGGTTATGCGTTTGCGTGAGCGCTGAGTCGATAGTAACCTACCACGGGCGAAGATTTTGCTTAGCCCACTGGTCTGTGTCAGCTGACCATGGCTTTAGGAGGAAATGTTTCGTTCAAAATGGGTCAATAATTGTGTCAATAAATATATTATGATACTTTATGAGATACCATGGACTTGATCTTACTGCAGTTGAATAGGAACCTATCTAACAACGCTTGATGTGGTAGCAAGATACAATTGCGCGACGATTCGCTCTTGAAATGACCGTTGTACTTAGCTCGGCGTGAAGGCGCTTTGACCTACTCAACGCGCTACTACCACCAGCAAAGGCCTACGAGAGAACCTAGGATAACACGCCAAAAAGGTGGATGCAGCACTTCCAGGGAAACGTCGGAAGCTGTACGATCGATCATCGTGGAAAGAGCGAGCCTACTGGCCCAACTTCGGACTGACATGGCTAGACTTAACGGATATCTCCATCAAATCAAAATACCTCAGACAGATAAATTTGAATGTGGACAAGCACGAGAACCCGTGTAGCACTTCCTCTTTCGATGTCGGAAGTGGACTACACACCGAACGGAAATGCTGCAATGCATCCACACCCAGCGAGGCTACATTCCTTTTTCCTAGCCGGGAAACCGTGAGCAAAGTCACCGGCTGGGTCCTTCTACAAAACTTTATCAAAGATGATTCATATAAAGATGCGAAATCGGAAACATTGGCTGGAAGAGAATGAAGAGAAGTAAGCTCGTGTATATATTGAGTGATAGATTGACGGCAAGTCATGGTGATTATTTGAATTGTCGAATGTACACTAGCAAAGAGAAGACTAACCAGGGAAGAGACAATAAATTATCCGATAAAGGAACCTTCAACAGATATCATTTTATCTGCTATCTATATGGTCGGAAGCCCGATTTTCGGAGCGTGGTGCATTCGAAAACCTCGCAGGATTGTTGTGTCGCGGGCTGCGCATTATCATCATCATCATCTTCTGCATCATATGTATATGCCCCGGCTAGCATAGAGAGCCCTGCTGGCAAATTCGGCTAAATGGCCTGTTGTAATGAATCATCCAATCACTTATATATTCCACATTGACTCTTTCATGGAATCCAAACTTCCTGAAATCGAAGTCATGTGGCAAAGTTTCCTCGAATATATCATCCTCATCATAAAGCAAAATTATGGATTTCAGTGATGATAATGCACGACTTGCAAGAGCTAAGTGGCTAAGAAGATCCCACCTAATAGGCCCTCGCAAATTAATCTTTAAGACCTCGAGGGATTCAGGCAGTGTAGCTTCGCTAGATAAGATACATTGGTCCACCCAAAGCTGCCTGAGACGGAAGAAACTTATGAATGAACCAAGGTACCGATCAGTGTCAGCGATGGTATTGGCGTAATGCTTGATATAGCCATCTTCGCAAGGAAAACTTAAAGCGAGTAATTGAAGACTGTTTCTGCATGGATGAAGAGCCCGGGTGATTTGAGCTGGATTGAAATGGGTCCCTTTTAGAGGTTCACAAGACGTAATCTCCCAAGGCGCAGGTTGACTATATTCAAATATTTGCAGATGTGGACAGCTTATCAAGAGTTTGCAGACAGATTCGTAGTCTAAGTGACTATTATCAAGTCTCATATTGCGGACATTTAGCCGGTTTGGTAACTTGAGGATCTCAAAGGAATGATTATCAACTGGAAGAGCAAGATTGCGAAGATTCAAGGCCTTGTTGATTACTGGCCATAGCAGATTTGCAATTTCGGCAGGTTTTGAGGTTCCTTTGTTGAAATCAGAGATATCTATGGTACGAATCGCTCTATAAAGAAGTGGTTGGCATTCGAGAGCTCTTCGAAACGATAGCAGCCGAGTCAATGTGTTGTCGGGATCGAGACTTCCTTGAAATTTGGTGAAAAGACGGGGTTGTGTCCAATTTCGAAATTTATGGGAGACACGACAAAGGGATAGAAGAGTAGGACAATCAAGAAAAATAATAATAATTGAAACGATCTCGAATGGTAGCGACGCTATTGATATCATTTTGATTGAAATACGGAACACTGGTGGTCGTAGAAGAATTTTGAGATAGGGAGGGGTGTGTGTGGGCAGTGCAAATCTAAATAACGACCGCTAGGCGGATCCGCAAGTCTGCCTCGGAACCTGAGTATGCCAGGGTACTAGGAGAGTCAGAAACAGAGAAAAAAGCAAGAAGCGATGGGAACCTGATGGCCGGAACCAGTAGATATGATAATACCTCACTGAAGGCGTGCTTGGAGCTACATAACAGGGAGCTGGCTGGCTATCGTGTGCTGTGTGGTCTGGGTGTGGCTCGGATCAATCCCCGGTCGTTAGCCTAAGAATATACCTCTCCTTTAGCTGAGTCGGACAACTTCTTGTAAAATACTCTATAATACGAAAAAGGCGCTTTCCCTAGGTTATAGACTCTTGTTCATTCTGCAGCAAAACCAAAAGGCTCTAACTTAGAAAAAAATAAAGGACGTATTACGGCAAAAACTTTCTATCAATCAAGGCTAATTAACTAATTATTTCTTCCTATCCTTCAAAGAGTTGCCAGAGACTCTATTGTAGTTCGTAAGAAGCCTCCTGGCTAGAAAAGAAAACGCACAATACAAGGTCATATTAATAGTAAGAGTATTACGTTCTTGTCTAAATTTTGCTAGGTCTTTAATCTGTAAATTTCCTGCATATATCGGCGCAGGCCTATCTTATGTTTAACAGCCTTGTTGCACTGGTTACATTAACGGTTATTTAAATGTAAATGTCTAAAATAACGCAGAAGATACTTATAGCGAGAGTAGTATTTTATTCTATAGCATTAAAAGTATTTAAATATTTTCGTATCTTCTCTTATTAGAGCTTCTGCACTCAATATTCTTTCCTCTGCTAACAAAGGAAGTACTACTGTAACAGTACAGGACAAACCATTACACATACTTATATTATTCCTTATAGAAGTTGTTTTTTTTGTATATCGTCGACCACAGTATGGCCCCCCCTTTAAGAACATTGCAGTACATCTAAATAGCCTCAATAGCCTTATTTCAATACGTCTATTCTGCCTCTACAGAAAGAGTCGTCGGCTAGGTTGTTAATTTTTCTAGCAGAGATATTTGCTTAGGGAGTATATATTCCTCTGTAAGAAGTATTTCTTTTGTTTCTTGTTTATAGAGTATACCTCTAGCGAGTTGCCTTTCGATATTAATAATAGTCTGTTAGCTATCGAATTCTTTCTGTATACGCTTCTAGAGGTTGTAAATCAGTCTATTACGTATATTTATAACTTTTTTTTTTCAACTAATTATGCCTTTAGAGCTGAGTTATACTCTTTTTCTTACCTTGATAAAGTTTTTCAGAAAATATATCTCGTTTCTTAATTACTTCTTTAAGCTTAGAATCTTCCTTAACGCTTGCCTTCTGCTTATCGGTAAGCTTATAAGGCTTCTGTATGTCTATCTACCTTCCTATCCTAGTAATCGTATATATTATCGCAGAATTAGGCTCTAAACTCTATATTAAAGACTATATATCCGTGCTAATATACTGTAGCAGGTAGTAATTAAGGAAAGTCTGAATATCGGTATATTTTATAATTAAGTTTTGTTATACATTACTAACAAGCCCTACAAGAGTTATTCTCTGAGTATTAATACTGTACTAGCCTTTATCCTAAATATTAGGTATAAGAAAACTTACTACTTTCGTTTAAGATAGTACCGCCGCTGTATCTGAAGCAATATATAAATAGACTCTATTTAAAGCCAGTAATTTCTCTGAACGTTTGAAATTAGCTGGATAGAGAACTTTTCGAGATAGGTTGATTACGATAGTATTTTATCAGGCCTTTAATCCCTTTAATTTTGTAGAATATATAATTCTCAGATTTTTTAGGCTTAAGTAGTATCTCTATCTGCTGCCGATTATCCTCTAAAAATAGATACCTTAGATTACCTATAGAGCGAATCCTAGGAGTGCGGAAGGTATTATCGTAGAACAATATACCTAGCAAGAAGGTATACGGGCTTAATATTAATAATAGGTTATATATAATCTTAGGAATTAGGAAAGTATTTCTAGAAGAAACGTTATAGCGCTAGTCAGAATAATCAAAATTATAGATAAGCTATACCCTTGTGTGATTTTTAGGTATTTCTTTATAAACTTATAAGTAAACTCTAGTAAGATCTGCGGCAGACCCCCTTTAGGATTACGTTGAATTAAGCAGAGTATATACTTATATTGCAAATTTTGTATAGTATTGATTTAATTCACAGTAAAGCAAGCTATTAGATTATACAGATATTACTGTATTCTCTATAATCCGGTATAAAATCTTTTTTCTATAGTTCGGAGTACTGTTTCCTGTAGAGGAACTAAATCCTCGATATACATCGGCGTCTTTTCTTTCTCTTTAGTATCTAGTCCTGCCCGTAGGATAATTCTCCGAATACTCTATAAAAGTATAAATTAATATTATTATAAAACGAGATACAGGCAGATTTTAAACCTTTCTTATCCTTTAACCTAGGCTTCCGTCTATTGATTTTTTATTAACTTTCTTATAATGCCGA